AAAGGAAGAAAGCTTTCCTCTGTAAATATGCAGCTGCAGAGATCCAGCGTCCTGGTAGTCACAGAGTGAAAGACTTACAGACTTCCCACAGGACATTGTAACCTCTCCATTCCACAGTGCCAAGCAAACAAAATACCAGCACCCATGCCCTCACAGGAAATTGTAGTGGGAGTTTCCCTTCAGTAGGAGACGGTCACACTCATCTGCTGACCTTACTTGTTAACTAGCAGCAGAACTTTTAAACTGGTTTAAAATCGATTTGATATTAATTTAATACTTTTCTGTTGGAAATGATTCACTTCAAAATAATTTTTCATGGTAGATGACATCAGTTGAATTTTACCAAAACATGCATTAGAATGGAGTGTTCATTCCTCCTTATTTTGAAATGTGTGTTGAGAATTATTTATTTTATTTGTGATATGTTTTTGAATTTTTTTTGAAACAGCTCATAGGGTTGGTGTTGTGTTATACCATTGCCTCATTCATTTTATTCAGCATACTTTTTGGAGGAAACTTGTTTATGTAACTATGTGGGGACATCCCTATTGGCTGTGTTCCTGTCAGGGGTATTGCTGAGGTAAAATGTGTTTTCAGCATCAGTGGTGCTCTCTGTTTCATGGCTTGACAGCAGTCTCTGATTTGTTTCATTATGGCCTTTTCCCCCCAGCTGTCTTTGCAGTAGGAAAGTTGCAGGTATGATAGGAGACAGATATTCTTAAATATTGAAACTGGAGAACATTTTTAAACACGATTATTTCTTATTGAAAAGCAAATAATTAGAACAACTGAAAAATACAGATCCTTCTAGAATGGAGGAGGCTATTGCAGAATAGGTTTTCAGCTCACGTGTGGAGTGATACTGACTGTACTGTAGGTTTTTTGTGGCAAATGTAAATTACTGAATAGATGAGTGAATTAATTGTCCTTAAGGGAATCTTTATGTGCTATACTTCTAATTTTCTTTGTTTTTGAAACATAGTTGAGAAGATTATATTAGTCTGTTGTTCATGAAAGTTTCAAAAAGTACTTTCAGACCAAAATTATCTTAATTTGGAAAAGGTGCAACCTATATCAGTTTGCTCTGGCATAAAGATCCTGAGGGTTTTATAAAGTAAATACAAAAGAGGTAGGAGTTTCCACGTAGCCCTTAAACTGGTAGATGTCAACCCATTCCTACAAAACGCTAACTGAACCTGTTAGATTAACCAGAGATAAAGATAGTGTCTCTTTTTTCATTTATTTATTTATAAAAATTAACCAAAACATTAAAAAAAATCTGAATAAATTCATTGGGATTTTTTGCATTGGAGGAAGAAACAAAACAAAAAAAGTTGAAATACCTCTGGTCCCATCGTTTTGCAGTCATATTTCTGGTTTTGTGTGTGATTTTATATTTGCAGTGAAGGTAAGCAGCTCTTGCTCTTTTAATTGGGTTAACTGACTGTATGCTCAACTGAAATCAGGAGTTCTAAATTCTTATTTAGCAAAACAAATAAAGTAAAGTAAAAAATAAATGTTCTTTGCTTATCTTGGAGTAATTTCAATACTGTTGACCCAATTTCCATAATATGCATTTGGTAGCAAGGAATTCAGAAGGGTTGGTTTGTTTTATGTATGTAGGTAGTCTTCTATTACTTATGAGCAATGCTTGGAAAATCTTTAGTATTGCCTTATATGTGAGAGGACGGAGACTACCTTACCAGTAATGGGCCAACATTTTGGTACTTAGAGTTTTGAACAGAGACACTGGCAATCTTTTTGTTTATAACTATGTCTCGGATGAAACTTAAGTACAGCCATCTCAGTAGAAGAAAAAATTGATTGTGAAAGGCCAGCAGTGTGGTGTCCTATCTTTTTGGTACAAATAGTTTCAGGGGTTTTGGGCAGCAGTCACCAAGGAATAAACAGTTTGTACAAAGAAAGTGCATTGTATTTCTGTTTTTAATTCTGCCCCCTTCATACTACTGTTTTCTCTTGGATTGGTTGACTTAAATATGTGCTTTTCTAAAATTTAGATTCTTCCATTTTTCTTCTGCTTTACTCAGCTCTCATGAGACCCCACCTTGTAATACTGTGTTCAGTCCTAGGACCCCCAAAATAAGAAGGACATGGAGCTGTTGGAGCAAATCCGGGGGAGGACCATGAAAATGATCAGAAGGGTGGAGCACCTCTGATATGAAAGCAGACTGAGACAGCTGGGTTTGTTCAGCCTGGAGAAGAGAATGTTCTGGGGAGACCTTGTAGGACCTTGCAGTACCAAAGCGGGAGCTGGAGGGGGACTTTTGACAATGGCCTGTAATGACAGGACAAGGCATAATGGCTTTAAACTGAAAGAGGGCAGGTTTAGAGTAGATATGGGGAAGAAAATATCTACTATGAGGGTGTTAAAATACTGGAACAAGTTGCCTGGAGAAGCTGTGGATGCGCTGTCCTTGGAAGTGTTCAAGGCTGGGCTGGATGGGACTTTGAGAACCTTGGTCTAGTGGAAGACATGCCTGCACATGGAAGGGGAGTTGGAATTAGATGGTCTTTAAAGATCCTTTTCAACTCAAGCCATTCTATGACTATGTTTTTTGATCTTGAGTGCTCTTCTCTGTAGTTATTTGGCATCCCTGCTGTTTACTTCTCATCCCTTCCTCAGTCCCAGATTCATGAGATCAAGAAATGTCTTTAGAGTGATCTTGAGTTTAGTGGGGGCAAACTTAAGAGATTCTGGAGAAGAGGTATCTGCTGTCTGGTCAGTTAAATTCAGCCTGGAGTTTAGTTTGCTGAATTGTTAGGTCATGGTTGTTATTAATTTAAAATATGGTAAGTAGAGATCTGGGTTTAGAAAAAATATATGAAAAATGTGTCAATAATTGAGAAAAAAAATGAGCTAAAAAATGGAAAAGGAAGGTGTGTATGGAAATAGCAGATTGATTCAAAGAATCATTGTGGAGTTAAAGGAAAGCAGCTGAAGTCAAATTCACTAAAGCTTAGAGCATGACAGTAGAAGCACACATTAAAAAATGGCAGAAGAAATCTTACTAGAAAATAAAAATTTAGGAACAGCAGAAAGAAAAGAAGCAATAAATCAACATACAGTCTTTACTTCTATCAAGAATAGTGTGGCCAGCAGGTCCAGGGCAGTGACTGACCCCTCTACTGAGCACTGAGGAGGCCACACCTTGACACTGTGGTCAGTTTTGTGCCCCTCATTTCAAGAAAGACATTGAGGCATGGGAGTGTGTCCAGAGAAGGGCAACAGAGCTGCTGAAAGGTCTGGAGCTCAAGTCCCTTGAGGAGCTGGGGGTGTTTAGCCTGGAGAAAAGGAGGCTAAGGGGTGACCACATTGCTCTCCACAGCGACCTGAAAGGAGGTTTTAGCAAGGTGGGGGTTGGTCTCTTCTGCCATGTATCAAGTGAAATGATGAAAAAAAATGGCCTTAGGTTTTGGCAGGGAAGGTTCAGATTAGCAGTTTGAAATTTCTTTTCACAGAAAGAGTGAGTAAGCATTGGAATGAGGTGCCCAGTGAGGTGGGGTGGGGGCAGCATCTCTGGAATGTCTGGAAGCGTCAGGAAGTGTCTGGATGTGGCACTTGGGGTATGGTTGTGGTGATTATGATGTGATTATGGTGTTTCTAGGTCAGTGGTTGGACTAGATGATCTTAAATGTCTCTTCCAGCCTTGATGGTTCTGTGAAAAGATGGCAGTACAAAAATAAACATTAATGAAAACATAGGCTGCTATTAGTCATGCAGTAAAATTAGAATTACTTAGAAAATCTTTAGACAAAGGAGATGGGAAGAGATGATGAAATAGGAAGTGAAAGAGAGGGGGGGAAAAACCCTAAGTGAATGAATAGAAACAAGTGCAAAGCCAGCTAAGGAGATTAGCAGGTCCTAGTAATCATGTTAGACACAAGCACAAAATATATTTTCAGTTTATCTTTTCACTTGTTAAAACAAGTATATAAAATAAAAATTCCTATTACTTTGTTTTGCCTGTAATTTAAATGTATAGTTTTGTCTGATTTTTGGTTTTAGGTTTCTCCCCCCATCTTAGTTATTTGTCTCTCATCCTGTTTCATATTTTATTTGTGGAAATATATTTCATATATCTGCATGTCAAATATGCTACACTTCCAGCAAGTACATTTCATGTGTCAGTGCTATGCAGAATATGCTATCTGAGGTGACAGTGACATTTATTTATTGTAATATTTATTGCTTTTATACTTTATATATATTTATATACATACTTTATATAATTTATACTATTTAGTAATGATTTTGCTTTGAAATCCCACAAATGAAAACAAATTTTAATCATATAGGACTGAAGATTTTTTTTTTTTTACCTTTATTTTTGTGAAAAGGATAAAAGAACAGAAGTTCATGCTGATCTCGATTTGCTTCATAAAGCTTTTGCAGCTGTTTGATGATGACAAAAATCCCCCAGGATATGGAGATAGGGTGCTTTGAAACCCTCTGTAGAGGGTGATCCTGTAATTTTCTGGGAATCTTCATTGGTAATGAATTAAGTTAAGCAGCACCTAGACACAATTTGTGTAGCTGTATTTTGCAAGTTCTTTTTCTAAATAATTGTTGAATCCCACCTTTAGTGAAACTCTGTTCCTTTCCTACAAGTGCCTGTGGACCAGACCCTGGAGTTTAGGGGCATTCAGCACCCAAAGGGATGCTTAGCACCTCATGTTATTCAGTCTGTATAACAACAAATTGATATTGCATGAAGTAACTTCTAATATTATTTGTGTGTGCAACTCTGAAATGTCTTGAACATTTCTCCACGTTGTATCTTGCTACAAAAATATCATACTTAGACCATGAGTTTTTATGCTGGAGATCCTCAGGGGAAAAACAGAGGCTTGCATCACATACAGATGACTGTATTAGCAAACCCTAGGAAAATTAATTAGTGAAGTTTCGTTTCTAGTGCATTAATTCTTTAATCTTTGAAAGTTTTTTTTACTTTTTTTTCTGTTTTCTTTCAACTAAGGCAATGCTACTTCACCACAAGTTCAAAGACCTTCCTTCATGGACTACTTTGATAAACAAGATTCCAAGAATAAAAGCCCTGAAAACTGTAATCAGAACATGCATGAACCTTACCACATATCCAAAAATGTTTTCCCTGATAACTGGAAAGTCCCTCAAGATGGAGACTTTGATTTCGTAAGTACTTTTTCCTTGTTTAATCTCTTGCATGCAGTTTATTTTATATGTGCCAAAAATAGTTAATCACTTTCTATAACTATACTAATACAAATAAAATAAGTACACTTTCAAGAATACTGTCCAAATATCTAATCTTTGTGCCTCATCCTGGTTGTTGAAGTAAGTAAACCTGATTAACACAGGACCTTTTTAATGAGGATTGGTGTGTGACATTATACTACCTTGTAATTACTTTTTTTTTTTACAATGTTTTTAGTTCCTTAAAATTTGTGTGCTATAACAACTCTTAAAATTTGACCTAATTATCTAAAAAAAAAAATTGCTACAGACATGGATATTTTTGTCTTGTTTGCTGGCTATCTCAATAAAATGATAAGCATTTTAAACTGGATTGGAGCCATTTAATCAATCTCCTTGGAGATGTTTAAGACCACCTACATTTTGCATAAGTCATCTTCTTGGTACTATTCCAATAGCACACATCTTTTTACAGAGAGTTATTCTACCTAAAACAGTTCATCTATTTTAGGGTGGAGTTTTTATTCTCCAAAATATGTGTAGTTTATTTCATTTTGCCTATGTTGCAAATTATAGTAGGGTCAAAAAGAAAATGTTCCTAAGTTATAAGTTGCACTTAAAATCAAACATGTAATTATTGATTAGAGACTTAAAAGTAATTATACCTGGTTTTCACCTAATTTTTTTGACATGTTTCAATGAAATCTTTGTTTATCTGTTGTGGATGAAATGTTCTTAGCTAAAGTGCGGTAGCTAAATATGATCACATGGTGCCTTTTTGAAGCACACTTGAGATTTCAAGAGAAATGTTGTGTTTAATTTTAGGTGACAGCTGTAGGTGGGGAATTTTCTTTCCAGTTTTCACTTACTGCATTTCTACTTAAAGCTGACTCTTAAATTTAAACTACTGAGGTAAAGCCAGTTAAATAGCATACTACAAGCTGTTGCTGCTGGAGAGTTTTGATTTAGTTGGATTTTGGTTTGGGTGGAGGTTTTTAGGATTTGGGGATTTTTTTCTATCAGATACAGTAATCATCATCCTGATGTTGACTAACAAAATAGTTGCATTATTCGTTGGAAAATAATTGGCCATTGTTTAAGTGGGGTTATTATAGTGGCAATAAAACTGCCTTTAGAACAATTTTAAATTCATCCTCTCTTATCCATTACTTGTGAAGAAATGCAGGCAAAATTATTATTTTTGTAAATGCTAAGATGCTAATTCTGTAAGTACTTACTCATGAATAATTCATACATGGATAATCGTGTGGAATTTGTTGACATTGCTTGTACAATTAAGTTGCCTTCTTGAAATAGGAATTTGTCCTAGAACAAAACCCAAAGAGTTCTGATCATCGAAAACTGCACTGCTCAGTTTTGTAGGCAAACCTTCCTAGTGGTGTTGGAGTGGCAAATACAGACTTCAGAATCATAGAATGGTTCCCTCTTAAGGAAGGGACCTTTAGAGGTCATCTACTCCAGCTTTCCTGCCGTGGACAGAGTCATCTTTCAGTAGCTGTATAAAGCTGTAACCTTGAAAACTTCCAATAATGTGACATCCACATCTTGTCTGGGAAATTTGTTCCTTAGTCTAACGGAATTTGTGGATGGCCTCCTGAAAAGGCAGTCTTGGTTGTTGCTACAAAATTATTCTTATTGAAAACTAAATAGGATTTTTTCAAAAGTGAGTAACTATTTGTATGGACTCTGTGTGTGTGATGGTATTTTGTTTTAAATACGAAGAAGAGATAAGCCATCCTAAGAAAGAGTTTAGGAGGGTTCTTCAGTAATGGCTATACTGCTTCAGAGTAGTCCACTCAAAAATACATTTCTCTGAAGCATCTGGTACCAGCTGATGTTGTGCAGGATATGGGTTTTAAGTGCCTGCTGATTTGAACTACTGGCAATTATTATTTACTTAGATATTCTAGAAGCACTTCTATTTATATTTTAGACAGTGAGTGGCAGTATTGGCAAGTGGCCTGCAAGAGACTTTCTTAAAGGATAAATTAGTGGGCAGCATGCATAATATATTGTCTGTTCTTTGTGAGATCAACATGAATGTTTTCAGTTACTGACATGAAGTCTAAGTGATTCATGAAAAGGATAAATGATGGAAACTTTTTGAACTAAATAATTCCATGTTATTTTTTTTGGAATTAGCCTTAATGGGATCTAAAAAAGTATCCAAACTGTAAATGGTGACAGTCATAATTTTATTTAAAGAAGGGGTTGATAGAAGTAAAATATAAATGCTCAAACTTCAACTTAATACTAGTATATACTAATAGTACTCCAGCTTTCTGTGTAGAAGAGGAAGGATGCTCTGTAAGCCAGAAGTCACCAAAGCAATTTCCTGAATGATACCATTATTGCTTACCCTTGTAAACCAAACACACCATGGCAGTTCTGGCAGCTAGTGAACACTTAACTTGTGAGCCAGGGTGAATAATAGGGTCATGCAAAGAAGAAATATTTAAGTGTATTGGATGGAAAGCCCTAGAAATTTATTAGTGTATATGTCTGTTAAAGCATGAGCTAGGAAGCAGAAATGCCATTGAGGTGGGAAAGAAGGGAAAAGAAAGTGAAAACAAACCTTGTAAATCCCTGCAACTAATTACTTTGCTTATTTCTATATATTATAAGGTTAAACATGCATAAGGAGCTTATTCCTGTGGCCAAATAGTATATTTACTTTAGGTCACAGTGATATTATATCCTATTCTTAGTCTCTCATACTGTCTGATAAAACAGTTATTTTGTTTGTTGAAATATATTTGTACATTCCATATGCACATGTGCATAGAGCAGTTTGTCTTACATACTTGCTGATGTTGTTAGATAATGTAAATAAATTATATAGGAAACTCTTCTCATAATGTGGATAAACAAATATATAAAATAAGGCAAATGAACTTAGTGCTAGGGCTGGTTTGAAAGTTTTGGTGTGAGCATAGTTTTCTGCCCTGATGTAAATGTTTTAAAAACTACTTGCCAACACAAATATAACTAGAAGACTTTTCCAAGAAAGTAACATGCTTTGGTCACATCAATCTGAGCTTTAAAAAAAGTAGTTTTAGCAGCATTATTTGTTGTGTAAGTATGTATTTATGGTTTGGTTTATTTCTCTGCTGAAGTACATCTGTTTTGAAATTTTAAAGCTGATCTTAATTCTTTTTCACTGATGCCATATGGGAATTTAAGGTCTATCTCTGACTTTTGGTCCTGCGGGCCTTCAGTTCTGTCATCAGTCTGTGCTGTTTATTGATGTCACGTTCCAGGAATCGATAAGAAAAAATTGTCACTGCAGACCTTCAAGGTTTACATTGCATTGAATCAGGTATATTGTAAATAACTTTAACTAGACTGAATTCTGTTACTGTATACTGATCTTGAACATTACATTATTCCAAATTTATCATGTTATATTTACTTCTGGACTTAAAGTGCTGTTTTTCATGCAAAAGAGGTGTTTGGAGTTTTTATACTACATTTCTTCCTGGTTTTTAAAAAGAAACAGTGACCAAACAAAAACATTCAACGCTGAAGCACTTTTGAATGTTTTCTTTTCCGTGAGTAGGAATTTGTATAGAATTGCTGGTTTTAATCTTTGTTTTCCGTTATTCTACTGTCTGTTTTTTGATGTCTCATGATAAATTCTTCAACCTAAAAGTCTGGGTCTTTGATATCAGTGAATCTTAGGGAAATGTATTTCTGGGGAAGTACTTGTAATGTTTTGTTTTGCTTTTTCCACTTCAGCCTTTGAAGTGCGGCTGTTGAAGCTCAGATTTGATATACAGCTCTTTCAACAACACCCAAACTAACGTTTATTCAAACTTTAGCTTTTATATAAAATTGTTAATATGTATCTCACACTCAAGGATCATTATGGAATTTTGCTTTCAATGAATTCTACCAGTCTATAAGCAATTCTCTTACACATTTTAATTCTTTTCAAGAGGCATTATTCCTCACCGTTGTGAGGAATAGCAGCATAGTGTCATTGAATAAGTAAAAATGCAGTAAAGCTCCATAATGTATGGGTGTGAGATTCCTAGGAGTATTAATGAAGCACGGTATAAGCAGCTTTTCATAAGGAGGCTTAACTATTTAATGGGCTGACTTTTAGTTCTAGCTCAGAAGTCAGCAGTTTGGATCACAATGAGAGCAAATGGTGTGTTTGTTTCACCCATCTGACTGGCCAGTCCTTTTAAGAAGTTTTTTTTTTGGTAGATATTATGTGTTCCTGTGACCATGTTGCTGTTATGATAGCTTTGTTCTTTCCATGGGGAATGTTTCCCATGAAATAGGTACATGCTGGAGAGAGCAGTGTATTAAATAAATAGTATAGCTGCAGGGTGTTGTTAAAGCAGCTTGCTTAAATTTTTTATTGTCTTTCACAGTTGAAGATTTTACATTGTATAACATTTATAATAGAAATTAGTTTTCACCAAGAAAAGGTGAACTTTTAATTCTGAGCAAGAAGAGCTCAACATTTTTGTAATTGGGGGATACCTGGATAAATCTTAGCTTGCTAAATTGACGTGCAGTGTGTACATATTGTGAAATAACCTGCTGCTTACATTTTTACTGTATTAGTATGTTTTAGATTTCATTAAGATGTAAAATTGCCCTGTAAATCCTTCTGTCCCTTAGTAATGTGTGTTAGAATGGGACATGATATTAACAAAGGATTTGCATGAACCTAATTGATGATAACCTCTGAATTAACATTAGTCAGAATGAATTGCTAAACTTCATTTGCACTAGTTGAATATGTTATTTCATTTAAATGAGTCATTTACTTTTTGTTAAGAGACAATAAAATCTAAAAAAGGCAAATCTGTTTATTATAGCAATGCTAGGGTAATGATTTCTGTCTCTAGCAGAATTATTTCCAAACTGGAATGGTATCCAGATTGTTAAATATTAAACAGTGAACATGTAGATCATGTTTTACATAATAACTGCAGTATCAT